TGTTGGTTTGAAAAAAAAAAAAAAAAAAACTCTGAGAGAAATGTATTACATATGTTCTTATGTAATAAAGCACTGTTCTTTATAGCAGGTTTACAAATATGTGCAGATAAATAGCCTTTTTAAGATGTATTTTTTGAAATTATAATACAATATATCAATACATAACATAAAATTTACCATTTTGACCATTTTTAAGCATACAATTAGTGGCATGAAGAACATTCACATTGTCATATGATCATCACCCATCCATCCTCAGAACTTCTTTCATTTTGTGAAACAGAAACTCTGTCCATTAAACAGTAACTCCCTATTCCCCCCTCCTCTAGTGCCTGGCAACCACTGTTCTACTTTCTGTTGCTATGAATTTTACTATTCAAAGTACCTCATATGAGTGGAATCCTACAGTATTTATCATTTTGAGACTGGCATATTTCACTTAGCATAATGTCCTCCAAGTTCATCTGTGTTGTAGCATGTGTCAGAATTTCCTTCCTTTTGAAAGCTGAATAATATTTCATTATACTGATATACCACATTTTATTTATTCATTCCTCTGCCGTTAGACACTTGGGTTACTTACACTGTTAATAGCCTTTAAAAAGAAATCAACCTGAAATACATTGTGAAAGCAGAAAGCTATGTTAGTCCTTGGTAAAGGCTTTTCTATGGCAAGTCAGAGCAATATAGTCAAGGTATACAGTCAGCCCCCTGTATCTGTGGATTCAACCAACTGCAGATTGAAAATATTTTCAAAAAATTAAAAAATAACCATACAACAATAAAAAATATGAATTGAAAAACAATACAGCATACAACCATTTGCACAGCATTTATATCATATTAGATATAAGTAAGTTAGAGATAATTTAAAGTATACAGGAGGATGTGCATAGGTTATATGCAAAAGCCATGCCATTTATATCCTTATAAAATAAGGATACTTGAGTATCTGTGGATTTTGTCATCCCAGGGATGGTGGGTCCTGGAATAGTCTTTGTGAATACTGAGGGACGACCAGCTTTTTGGAAACCTGACAAATAGAGTGATAAACTTAGATAAGGTCTAGAGCAGTGCTGTTCAATAGAAACATAACATGAGCCTCAAATGCAGGCTACACGTGTAGTTTCAAATTTTCTAGTGGAAATATTAAAAAAGTAAAAAGAAATAGGTAATACTATATTTTTATTTAACCTATTATATGCAAAATATCATTTCAACATGTCGTGAATATAAAAGTT